AATCTGATTTAGGCATGTAGAAAAACTGTATTTCGAAGAATCCTTTATTCGATTGATGTTAGAGTAACTTTCATTTCGCTTGACGAGGCGAGTTTAAGTCAAGTTGGTTGCACCATGTGGCGGTGGATGTGGATTTGTGCGAATAGGTCCTCGGTAGATTGCGGCAGTCGCAAGACAGTGGAACCAACTTACGAATCCCTTCCAGTCGCCTCTTAAACGAAAGCGAAGCTACTGCAACACGAATCTGATTTTGCTCGCTCCTCCGTTGACTTTGTTGTCATCGCAACTTTGATGCAGTCATCGAGACGGCCCAATTCGTCTGCCGTGCCAGTTGGCAGACATTATTGCAAGGATGCTGCCTCTTTCGGGACATTTTAGGCTTCGCGGTGTGTGTACTCATTTGTGGGTGTGTGGAGGTCCTGTGACCAGCCCTGAATGGGCAAACTGGGCTTCCAAGATGGTAGTCCCACTCACTGTGAGCCAATCGTTGATGCGATCCGTAGCTTGGCAACATCGAAAGACGAATTAATTTCTCTCTGATCGCTCTGTGTGCATGTGCCTACATGTTCAACCTTTCTTTCAGCTTTAGGACAACATGCAGCCATAATGTAGGGGAATTCGGACAGCGCTCGTCAAGTGTGAACGGCCTGGTACATGGGCCTAATCTGTGTGGTAAGGGAAGGGTAGATAAGAGGACAACTATGCTCGTGGATATGTGCATGTGAGGTGGAATATGTCTTGTTGGGCGCAGCATAGCGACATGCCTCATTCCATGCTCTCTGTGTGTACGTGTGTTCGTCCGTCCGTCTATGCATGCATGTGCTTTTGTGCGTTGCACTTGGTGAACTGTTTGTCTGCAAGGAAATGTGCGCATCTCGTCAGATTAACGCTTTCTGACTTGTGCCTCTGATAAAATATGTCTGCTTTCAGTTGGGCTCGCAGACATTTACATCTTCGTGTCGTTCAAAATACGCATAACTCCCAAAACGATAGTCAAGGTTTCTTGTTTAATCGCGCTTGGATGAAACAACGTCCATTTTGTTTTATTCGCTTACATTTTATGGGTTACATTTTGTTTAAAAGTGGATTTTCGAGATTACCACCAGAGCATATATTTGACGTCGGACTGCATTTTCGAAATTGCCTGAACTGGTCTCATCATCTCGGCAGGACTCGAACCCGCCTTGTAGTAAGTAGTACAGTAGTAGTCAGTAGTAGTAGTCTATACACCTTCATCATCCCCACGCCATGTAGCCAGCTGTGGATTTCATGCAAGGCCATACGTTTTCACACATCACACTTTCTGGTGGGAGTCTCAATGATTGTATGTTACGTATGAAGTCACACGAACTTGTGAATTTGGGAATGTCTGATCAAGACTAACGGTTGACTTGATCACGTATGTCCTGACACAACATTATCTGGTTGCTATTCCATAAGGTTGGTGGTCTGTGCAACTTGTCCATTTTGCGGACGTATTCATTTCTTTCCCCACATGAATTGTTTTTGTGTGATAAACAATGTGAGTGAGAATACCGATTGCCACCATCGTCTGTCCCAATTCGCCTCTCACTGACGGGCATTTGTGACAGTTTTTACAGTCGGTATGTGTTTGCGCGTGAGAATGGGTGAGGGTGTATTTAGGTTTTCATACTCTTGCAATCACACACACACACACACATTTGTATATATAAATATATATATACGTATGTGTGTGCATGTGTGATGGTAAGAATATGAAAACTCAGAGCGATATGAACTAGCTCTTGTACATCACCCCAAATTCACTTTGCCCAGCATCTTTCTCGTTCTATTGTCGCCATGCGTCGTGTTGAAGCGTCCATTTTGGTCTCGTTGCCACCGCTATTTGCTCGGCTGAGGGCTTGATGTTGCCACCGTCTCCTGTCGTCGTTAAGTGAACCCTTCTTCTCGTGCAGCCTCAGTCTTCGCGCAGAGTTTTCCACCAAATTGCTCAATCTGCCTTGACGACTGACAAGCCAAGCTTGATGTGGTGTAGCATCTGCAGGCCTATCAAGTGGTTGGTGGAGGAATTGGTACTTTCGCCTGCACCCGATTGCTCGTCTCGACAGTTGTCCCGGCTACTTGGCCGGCGAATCACACTGCTCCGCAACCCCCGAGCCTGGGCCAGTCTGCGAGAGCGTCTGGTGTTCCCGTTAATGGGCCGGCTTCGTCGGCTCATGTGCACGCAGAAACATGCAGATTGTCGTAAATAAACGGAGATTCCCAACTGTGAATAACTTTTGCCAGCCCTCCACACCAGACGCTTGTAAACGCATTCCGCTTCGTCACATCATCTCACCGTCCCTTCCCCATTGTCGTCCGTTCGTGTGTAGACAGGCCGACTATCGGTTGTCTGTACCACAAACCTGGAAGGTGGCGCTTCGCCTCGGTCGACAAGACCTTTGGCGTAGTTACGTGACCCCTCGGGACGGTCTGGCTTACTCAGGAGGATTCGTCATGTAAACATACCTTCTCTCTCACCGACAGGCGTGAAAGGCTTGTGTTTTTTCTCAACTCTTGACTTCTGGCCTCTCGTGCCTATCGGGCTGGCACAATTATCCTACTCTGTCTGTCGATGTGTGTGTGTGTGTGTGTGTGTGTGTGTGTGTGTGAATGTCTATGTGGTTGTCGAGCCGCACACAAACACACAAACACATGCATACATATAAAGCGCCAAGCTGATCTCAAACATTTGTGAGGGGAAGGATAATTGGCCCTTGCGTCGCCTTGACGAATGTGACATGTGGAGGCAGCAGCAGCATGTGTGATACATGCTGTGTCTTAAGGTGGAGGAGGAGGAAGAGGAGGAGGCTTAACCGTGACTCTCCTGCTCGCTCCGGCATATGACCCCGGGGGACTTGCTCTCGGCCTCCCTCTCCTCTCACGGTCCAAACGGACGACATGGCCTCTGGCCGAGCTAAACATCGGCTGTTGTGCTCGCGCGGATAAACAAGCCCAGCCTCCCAACCGGTCTGCCGGTGCTCGGCTCGTTGGGCTAAATCCTGTGAGCCGGACGATACTGCCGAAGCTACCGACCGTCACGATGCTCCATGTCCCAATTCGTCTCCCACTCACGGACATTTATGTCTATTTCTACCACTGTATGCGTGTGTGTGTGTGTGTGTGTGGGTATGAATGAGGTTGCGTTTAGGTATCAGCATATTATTCACAAAAAGTATGTTTCGAAACTATCAGACGTGAATTTCAAGTTAGGCCAAGCCTCTCCAATATCGTAGTTTGGAGTGGGATTGTCGACCATTGGAATCGACTTCATTATTTGTATTAAGAAGAAGTAAGCTTCGAAATCATCCTTAAATTGTAAATAAGAGTTTCTGTCATTTTGGCCAAAGTTTGTAATTGAAAGCAAGCCGTGCAGAAATGAGTTTCTTTCGGTAGAACGCATGAATTTTCCTCCAACCCCCTTTTGCTTAAAGTGACATCAATGGCTCGCTCAACCATGCGCGAAAACAACCAAATATTTCGATTAATTGGCCTTTTGTCAGATCCACATTAAGAGTTCTCATTCAGGATCTGCGAGTAGCCTCAAAACCAACTCGTCAATAATGGTATCCTGATGGAATTTCACTTTTACTTGTTCAACCCGTCCACTGTAGAAATGTGACGTGGCCGATGCCTGACTTGCCTTGAAGATCAAGTCTCTTCTGTACCCATCGTTCGTCGTGGCAGTGTTGCATGGGGGCGACGTGTAGATGATAAAAAGGCTGCATTAGCCGGCCTGATTGATAGACCAGTTCAAGTCCAATTGGGATGAGAATACTTTGTTGGAGCATCTCTCTGCCATACTCCATTCACCTCATGCCACCAGGAATGCGGTGAAGAGATTCGAAGTTCGGTTCCGCCAGAAGACGACGGCCAGCTGTCGATTGGCTTTACTGCAAGATTCATGCTGACGCTGTTTCCGAAGTAACCTACTTCGATTCCAGTGAATAGGTGCTAAGCTTTCGTCCGTTATGCCACGAACATCATCAGAGCATCGAGGGTAGCATCGTCACGACAAAATTGAAGCTAACGAGTCAAGAAAACTCACCTCAAAATCCCTAAAAATCTGACCTCTTTGATCAAGTATAAAGTGATTTGGTTAGTTACGGTCATGTGTCAACTTCGATGCATGTGAGTGTGTCTGTCTCTGTATGTGCATGTGCCTGTTTGTGTTCGCTTATGCACGAAATCTGTAGTAATGCCTCAAAGTAATTGGTACAGCAAAAAGGAACTTGTGTTTTTGGCCATTAAGGTTTGATGACCCCCATCTCACCCCTTCTACGTACACATATACTGACAGTGTGAAAGCATAAAAATTGGGAAAAAATGTAAGCTAGCCAGCTGAAGTACAACTTGCCCATAAACAATTGTATGAAGACCAAGCTGTCCCACATTTCCTCATATCCGCCTTATCACGTTATCTTGATTCTTTACTATTCCGCTGATCTGTAAAGTCTTCAAATCCTGCAATCCACTGGGCTTCTCGCGCCACTATCTCTCTTGACAATAAGTCGAGGTGTCAGTCATGTCTGAACCCACAACTCTTTGTCTACAGCCCTGCACACATCAACGCCACGCAAGAGATGAGTTGTCATGCGTGTCCGTGTGATCGCGGGATGGTGTGAAGAACACACATTCAAAATAATACACTCACGATTCTTCTACGGTTTTCGAACCACTTGCAGCCAGCTTTTAAGACTAAATGGACGTTATGGTAGTAAGAATGTATTTTCGATATAGACAGTAGTCTTTATATCACCTTAGGCCAATAAACCTGATTAAAAGTTGTTTGATCTTGT